TTACAACTGACCAATTTTTTAATGCTTTTTCTTTTCTTTTAGATTCCTGATGATCCAGTAATAATTATTAATGATGAATACGACAAACGAGAATTTGAAGAGCTAGAGGATGCTGCAGTTCGGGTAATCGGATACTTTGAGCCTGGAAGTGCAGGTTAATTGTTGGCTAAAGACTATTCAACTAATTGTTGTTAAAAAGTGTATCAAATATTTTCTATCAAGATGCTTGCCCTTTTTCTACTAAGAAAGAAAAAAAGATTTGGCAATTGTATCTGTTATAAATGATTATAATCTGTGAAAAACCAGTGAAATTAGTGGAAAAAAAAATTTGTTTTCAACAGAATAGTAACTGAAAAAAGCTTTAAAAACTATAAAATTAAAAAGTTCTCGTTTTTTTTGCTACTTTTCCTTTTTGCAATGAATAAAAATTTAAAATATAGTTGATAATTACAATTTTATGTAATAATGTTACGAGTGGTTTACTGCTTCGTAGTCGATAAGAACAGTGAACGTCTAGTACTGGTAAGGGTAGTCTAATCAATAGGCTTGGATATCAGTGAAAATATCAGTTATAAAAAGTTTCAGCCATATTCCTTCTGTTTGTTTTTATAGGCCTGAAAGAGTTTGAAGAAGCCGCTGAAGATTTTATGGGCGAAATTAAGTTCTACGCTGTTGTCAACTCATATGTATGAAAGCTTTTCATTTTATGTTTGCATTTATTTATATAGTTTAAAAAATTTTGTGTAAAACGATAATTGATCGAGTCTTTTGGTTAAAACAATGTTCAGCTGTCTAAATTAGTGATACTGGGCAAAATTTGTTCATATTTACACTCTTTTTCTTTTCTTTGATTTAACTAAAATTGTAACTCCTGATTTTTTATTTGTAAAGAGTCAAATTGAGTTGGATCTCTTGACAAAAATTGAATTTTTTTTTTTGTTAAATAAATAGAAAATTTTCTAAATTTTTTGTTGTACTTTTTAACTGAAAAGAATGCACAAATACTGTTGTTACAGTGGGCACGTAAAATGGGACTGAAACGAGTTGGTGAAGTGCAGATGCATCGACCATTCGAGGATGACCCGATCTATGCACCAACATCAGTGGATACCGAAGATGAATTTGAAGACTGGGTTGAAAAGCACAAAGAACCAGTAATGCAAAAGTTGACCAGGGAGAACTACTACAACGTTTGGGTAAGGATATTTCCCTACATACAAATTCTGCTTAGTCAAACAGACGTTTAAACATCGTTTTTGTAACTAAGAATGATGTTGTAATTTGAGAGCTAAAAACGCACTCAAATATAAATCGCGATCAATCGCTATATTGCATCTGCTAAAATTGGCTCAGCTAAGTTGTTCTCTGGTAGGGTCGGTTGTTCAAGTTTCTGCAGATATAAGTCGCGTTTTCTTCCAGCTTTTTTAACTCTTTTTTTAGAATAAATGGTGAAAAAGTTTAAAACTAAAAATAATGTCTTTTTACATGTATTAGAAAGATGCCGAAGAGGACGAAAAATTGGTTGTCGCATTCTGTGATGAAGAAACTCGATCTGGACGTACGATGTTCCATCTGCTGGAAAAATTGGCTGACGAAAACAGCGAACATGCCGGCACTTTAGAAATTGTGCTTATTGATCCAGGTTAGCTGCAGTTTTCAAAATTATTTGAACAAAAGTTATTTACGACAAATATTGTTTGTCAGTATGATATGCCACTTAATTATCCACTCAGATGCAGTTACTGTCTATTAAAAACTGCATAAACAATGTTTGACCAATTAAGAAAAAAAAACATTCTTCTATTGGGTTAAGATTGCATATTATTATTTCATGTTTTTTACTTACCTAATGTAGTGAATAAGACGTAGACAATTAATTGATAAAATGTGCAATTTTGAGCAAATTCAAAGCTCTCTTAAAACTCATTTATATCTATAAATATATGAATATTTTAAATCGCGGTAGTTATTTTGTAGGTAAAAGAATAATTTGAAGCTTTTCAAAATTACTAAATAATAATTCCAAAAAATCTTTCAAACAAAACGTATGCAAGAGTGCTCTGAAAAATAAATTTTTCTTAGATGAATTTCCACTGATGGTAGACGTCTGGGAAGATATGTTTGGTATCGACATTGAAGAAGGACCTCAGCTTGGCTTAATTGATATTTCTGAGGTATTGTCAAAAGTTTTTAGTTTTCAATTAACATTAGCAAATGATCCATACTTGTAGCTTAAAGTCGGCTACATAATCCTCGCTCAAACGTTAATGCTAAAAAAAAAAACGAAAATTAGACCCAATTAATGATAGAAATATCTAAAAAAATGCAGTTTTCCAGTGATAAAAAGTAAACATGAGCAAAAAAAAAAAGATGGAAAAAATTTTTAGAAAGAAGGAATATGGTTTGATATGTCGCAATTAAACCTCGACGATCCGAAAAAGCATCGTGAGAGCAATTTTGAAGTTCTACAGACTTGGATTGATCAGATAATGAATGGCAATATTTCGTTAGAAGGTTGGTGAATTGAGAGGTTGTTTACTAAAAACTTAATAACTCACACTCATACGAAGAATTTAGACTAGTGCTACAAGCAACTAGTAATGATCGCTTAAAATAAAAGTTCTGTAGTTCAATTCAATTGAAAAAAGAAAAAAGAGGAAGCAAATTTTTTAGTAATTTGATTCATATTTCAAAAAGGATTCCACCTGTATTGTTACGATGCTAACAACTCTGCCTGTAACGTTGATATGATGCTCAAGACCCGTTTCAGATGAAGAAGAGGAAGAACCCGAACCAACGACTCCGCCACCACCACCACCGTCACGAGGACGAAAAGGCAAAAAAGAGCTGTAGTATGAGAGAAACAGGAAGTGAGAGAGAGGAAAAGAGCGAGAGGGGGGAGAGGGTGGGAGCATCTGAGGGGGAAGCGAGAGAGAGGGAGAAGTTTTTAACAGAAACAACGCACAGTTCCGCAAATAAAGTGTGGCGCCCCAAACTACTCATATTAAAGTTGAGCCTCTTAACTTTTTACTGGTCAACAGATGTAAGCAACAACATTTTAGCTTCTTTCAAAGCATCCAGTTTTTTCCCCTTTTTTTCTGCTTTTATAGGATTCAATTTCAAAAAAACAAATTTTTTCTTCTCAGTCACCTTTGTCCTTTCTTCAACTATATCTTAATTAATTTTATTGATAACAACTTTTTTTGTTCCTTTAGTTCTGTTTCTGCCTTTTGGCTTCTTTTTAAGCAGATTGTTGTAAATATCAAAAATAAAGAGTAATAAAAGAAGAAAAAAATATATAGGTTTTTTTTTTTTATTCGTTTTTTTTTTCTATTTTTTTCACTGGATTTGCTCAAATTGTCCACCATCAGTTCATTGCTGCAATGGAACTTACTGATGTCCAATTCTGTGTTCATTTTTTCTTCTTCTGTCTCTTTTTTTTTCATCTTCTCAAAGTGTTTTTTGTTTTTTTAAAGTTTTCGTTTTTTTTAAGCGAAAAGCAAAAAACAATGATGACGTAAGAAGAGCAAATTAGTCGATGTATTGCATTAGTGTGGTGTATG